GAGGGCCCAAAGGGCCCCCAAGACGCCCCCAAGAGGCGCCCAAGGGGCGTCCCAAGAGGGCCCCAAGAGGCAGAAATCCTTCATTTTCCATAGGAAAACGTATATTTTTAGCAAATGCGCTTTGTCGGCTTTCACGGCGTTGACGACGGCCCAAGAGGCCCCCAAGACCGCCCCAAGATGGCCCAAGAGGCTCCCAAGAGGCCCCCCAAACGGCCCAAGAGGGCCCCAAGACGGCCCAAGAGGCGCTCAAGATGGCCCAAGAGGGCGCCAAGACGGCCCCAAGAGGGGGACCACGAACCGAAAAGTCTAGCCTTTCGCCCCAAGACGCTCCCAGGAGGCCCCCAGCGCCCCCCAAGAAGCCCAAGAGGCCCCCAAGAGGCGTCCCAAGAGGCCACCGGGAGGCGAAACTCATTGATTTCCTATGGGAAAATGTACATTTTTAGCATACAAGGCTTTTCGGCTTTCACTGCGATGAAGACGCTCCAAGAGGCCCCCAAGACCGCCCCAACGGCCCAAGAGGCTCCCAAGAGGCCCCCAAAACGGCCCAAGAGGGCGCCAAGACAGCCCAAGAGGCGCCCAAGACGGTCCAAGAGGGCCCCAAGACGGCCTCAAGAGGGGGACCACGAACCGAAAAGTCTAGCCTTTCGCCCCAAGAAGCTCCCAGGAGGCCCCCAGAGCCCCCCCAAGAAGCCCCAAGTGGCCCCCAAGAGGTTCCCAAGAGGCCTCCAAAAGGGCCCGACAAGGGGTCCAATAGGACTCCCAAGATGCCAAATAGAGAGCGATCGGTAACGCAAAAAGCTCTTCACACCAAGGCTCCCAAGAGCGAACGGTGACGTGAACAAGCTGATGAGACCAAGGCTCCCAGCAGAGAGCGGTGACGTAACAAGTTCCTGACACCAAGGCCCAGCCAAGGCTCAGGAACGGGCGGCAACGCAACAATCTCTGAACACCAAGGCTGCTAAGAGCGAGGGGTGACGTAACAAGCTCTCAACGCCAAAGCTCCCAGTACGAACGGTGGTGTGAGTAATTTCGGTTTCTGTTTCTGAAGCGCTCTTTCCGTTTCTGTGCCGGCCCAGGTGACGGAAAGAGCGAGGTACGAGCGAGTGACGTTGAGTAGGGGGCGAAGCCCTTCTTAGGGGGGGTCCAGGGGGGGTGCGAGGCCCAGACGTATGGTCTAATAGCCCGTTTCCCTCGTATTTTTTCGAGTGAAGCGGCTCCCGGGCGGCTCCCATGGCCGTTTCTTCCCCAGACGGGCCCAAGACGGCCCAGAGGCCCCAAAGCTCGTCCCAAGACGGCCCTGGAGGCGTCCCAAACGGCCCCAAAACGGTCCAAGAGGGCCCCCAGACGGGCCCAAGACGGCCTACGAGGCCCCAAAGATCATCCCACGACGGCCCCAGAGGCGCCCCAAAGGGGCCCAAAACGGCCCAAGATGGCCCCCAGACGGCCCGAATACGGCCAAGAGGGCCGCGAGGGCCCTAAGAGAGCCCAAGAGGGCCGCAATAGGCTTCCGAGCGCGCCGAAAGAGGAGGAGGGGGAGGAGGAGGAGGAGGAGGAGGAGGAGGAGGAGGAGGAGAAGGAGAGAGGAGGAGGAGGAGGAGGAGGAGGAGGAGGAGGAGGCGGAGGCGGAGGCGGAGGCGGAGGCGGAAGGAGGAGGAGGAGGAGGAGGAGGAGGAGGAGGAGGAGGAGGAGGAGGAGGAGGAGGAGAGCGAGGCCAAGGGAGGGGAGGGAGGTAGAAGGAGGAGGGGGAGGAAGGAGAGGAGGAGAGGAGGGAAAGGAGGAGGAGAGGAGGAGGAGGAGGCGGAGGAGGAGGAGGAGGAGGAGGAGGGCAGGCGGAGGCGGAGGAGGAGGCGGGGCGGAGGGAGGAGGAGGAGAGGAGGAGGAGGAGGAGGAGGAGGAGGAGGACGAGGCCAAGGGAGGATGAGGGATGTAGAAGGAGGAGTGGAGGACGAGGCCAAGGGAGGGGGAGAGAGGTAGAAGGAGGAGGGGGAGGAAGAGGAGGAGGAGGAGGAGGAGGAAAAGGAGGAGGAGGAGGAGGAGGAGGAGGAGGAGGAGGAGCGAGGGGTGGCAGTACGAACGGTGGTGTGAGTAATTTCGGTTAATGTGTTTGAGGCGCTCTTTCCGTTTCCGTTCCGGTCCAGGTGACGGAAAGAGCGAGGTACGAGCGAGTGACGTTGAGTAGGGGGCGAAGCCCTTCTTAGGGGGGGTCCAGGGGGGGTGCGAGGCCCAGACGTATGGTCTAATAGCCCGTTTCCCTCTTATTTGTTCTAGTGAAGCGGCTCCCGGGCGGCTCCCATGGCCCGATTCTTCCCCAGACGGGCCTAACTAAGACGGCCCAGAGACCCCAAACATCGTCCCAAGACGGCCCCGGAGGCGTCCCAAACGGGCTCAAAACGGTCCGAGAGGACCCCAGACGGGCCCAAGACGGCCTAAGAGGCCCCAAAGATCATCCCAAGACGGCCGCAGAGGCGCCCCAAAGGGGCCCAAAACGGCCCAAGATGGCCCCCAGACGGCCCCAATACGGCCAAGAAGGCCCCGAGGGCCCTCAGTGAGCCCAAGAGGGACCCAATATGCTCCCGAGCGCGCCCGAAGAGGAGGAGGGGGAGGAGGAGGAGGAGGAGGAGGAGGAGGAGGAGGAGGAGGAGGAGGAGGAGGAGGAGGAGGAGGAGGAGGAGGAGGAGGAGGAGGATAAGGAGGAGGAGGAGGAGGAGGAGAGGAGGAGGAGGAGGAGGAGGAGGAGGAGAGGAGGAGGAGGGGGGGGAGGAGGAGGAGGGAGGAGGAGGAGGAGGAGGAGGAGGAGGAGGAGGAGGAGGAGGAGGAGGAGGGAGGAGGAGGAGGGGGAGGAGAAGGAGGAGGAGGGAGGAGGAGGAGGACGAGGAGGAGGAGGGAGGAGGAGGAGGAGGAGAAGGAGGAGAGAGAGGAGGAGGAGGAGGAGGAGGAGGAGGAGGGAGGAGGAGGAGAAAAGCAGGAGGAGGAGGAGGAGGATGAACGAGGACGAAGGGAGGAGGAGGGAGGTAGAAGGAGGAGGGGGAGGAAGAGGAGGAGGAGGAGGAGGAGGAGGAGGAGGAGGAGGAGGAGGAGGAGGAGGAGGAGGAGGAACGGAGAGGACGAGGCCCAGGGAGGAGGGAGGAGAGGAGGAGTGGAGGAAGAGGAGGAGGAGGAGGAGGAGGAGGAGGCGTGGGGTGACGTAACAAGCTCTCAACGCCAAGGCTCTCACTACGAACGGTGGTGTGAGTAACTTCGGTTTAATGTGTTTGAGGCGCTCTTTCCGTTTCCGTGCCGGCCCAGGTCTAATGGCCCAGGTCGATCCCGACCTGGACCAGTCAGGCGTTGCAGGATCCTGCAAGATCTTGCAGGACGCTGCAGGATCCTGCACCCAAGCCCAGGTCAACGCTTCCCTGGCTCTGCAGGACCCTGCAGGATCCGGCGCTCTGGCTGAACCCCGTTTGTGTTGAACCCGTCTCTCCACTCCTCCTCCTCCTCCTCCTCCTCCTCCTCCTCCTCTCCTCCTCCTCCTCCTCTCCTCCTCCTCCTCCTCCTCCTCCTCCTCCTCCTCCTCCTCCTCCTCCTCCTCCTCCTCCTCCTCCTCCTCCTCCCTCCTCCTCCCTCCTCCTCCCTCCTCCTCCTCCTCCTCCTCCTCCTCCTCCTCCTCCTCCTCCTCCTCCTCCTCCTCCTCCCTCAATCCACTCGCATGATCCTTCTAGCACTTGTTCCATCGTTATTCCGTTTCTGCATGTCTATTTGTGCGCATGTAGATATACATGCACATGCGTAGACATATATGTATGCATAGTTACACACCCACTTTACCTAGCCAGCCGGTTGCCTCTTGGGCGGGGCCCTTCCAGCCCACCGATCAGAGAAGGTGCAAGCGCATTGCAGGAGAACGATGGGGCGCACCTCGCTCGCAAGTGCGAAGTGCAGTCTTCGCCTCGGCGCCGCGCTCGCTGCTCCTCCGCCTTGAGCTCCCGCCACGAGCGCGGCGCACATCCAATTCGCCGCGCGCGAGCGGGGCGACACATAGCTCTCGCCCATCCGCCGCGAAAGCTTCGCCTAGAAGCGGCATCCCGCCTGGACGCGGCGCGTAGTTTCGTTCCTTGGCTCAGCCGCTTGGACCAGGACTCCGCGGGAGCGTAGCGGGCGAAGAGTCGACCTCGCCCATGCTCCCCGGAGGTTTCGTGCGAGATTGGCATTTCCGCTGGGGCACGGCGCATACCTGTCGCTCGCCAAGTCGCCAGAAAACGGAAACAGAGATGCTCGCGAGCGGGCGACATGCAGATCTCGTATGGAAAAGGCAATATGTTCCGGCGCGGCGCATTCATTGCCTTCGCCGCTCTCATTGGACATTCTGATGGGCCTGACTTCCGCCACCACCACCATACGCTGCAGGGGGGAAGGAGGTGGAGGCTGAAGAGGAGGAGGAGGAGGAGGAGGAGGAGGAGGAGGAGGACCCCCTCCCGCTCCTGCTTTTGGTGGTGGTGGGGGGGCGATCAGGAGGAGGAGGAGGAGGAGGAGGAGGAGGAGGAGGAGGAGGATGGAGCCCACAACATGTGGAGGGTCAAGAGAGAGAGGGCCACGGTATGCTCCCGCAGCAGCGCCACGCAACGCTTCTCTTGAAGCTCCCCGCTCCCGCGCCGGTGCGCGGCCCGTGCTCGCCCCCCCCCCCCCTCGCTAGGCCGTCGTCGTCGTCGTCGTCGTCGTCGTCGTCGTCGTCGTCGTCGTCGTCGTCGTCGTCGTCGTCGTCGTCGTCGTCGTCATCGTCGTCGTCTTTTCCGTCGTCGTCCTGCTCTCACTTCAGCTCCTCCTCCGCATCCCCCCGCGCGCGCGGCGAAAGGGGGCGGAGGAGAGAGGAGGCAGCCTGGAGGAAGGGGGGGACCAAGGGGAGGGGGGACGACGACGACGACGACGACGACGACGACGACGACGACGACGACGACGACGACGACGACGACGACGACGACGACGACGACTGCGACGACGACGGACCGGCGATCTCGTGGCGCCTGCGGCATGCGCACCAGCTGCGCGCGCGGGGCCTGTGGAGCCTCGCCGACGGGGGGGGCGAGGAAGAGGATGGGCACAGGGCGCAAAGCAGAGCAAGGAAGCGATGAGAGACACGGGGGAGGAGGGGGCGTCAGCCACCACCACGGTGCAGCCCGCGCCCGGCTGGCTCGCACCTGACGGAGAGCATCGGGCCGAGAATCGCGCGGGAGGATCGAGGAGGAGGGGCGGACGAAAGAGGGGGGGTAGCAACGACGGGGCTACCGAATCAGCTGCACGCGTCTACGTATCCTTGCGCCTCCCTGCGCCAAAGACGGCCATGTATGAAGGAAATGGGGCCTGCGACGGAACTGAAACCAGCTGCGTTTTTGTTGTCCCGCGACGATGGGGGGGGGGTATACCGTAACGCCCCGACACCACAAAGCCTGTGTTTGTATTTTCCAGGATTGCGACCGGATGACGTCACGTGCCGCCTCGGCGGCGTCCACAATGCCTGACCATAGCCAAATAGGAGCAGCATGTACGTAGCGATCTGCCCCACAGCGCCTGTGTACACCACAATGCTCGCGTGCACCACAGCGCGCGTGTACACCATATAGCGTCTGCGTACACCGCAACAACCGTGTGCAACGCTGCGCATGTGTACACCAGTGCTTGCGCGCACCACAGCACTGGTGTACACCACAGCGAATGTGTACACCGCAGCAATCATGTGCAACACAGCGCCTGTGTACACCGCAATGCTTGCGTGCACCGCAGCGCCTGTTCACACCACAGCGCCTGTCTACAGCACAGCATCCGCGTGCAACGCAGCGCTGGTGCACACCACAGCGCCTGCGTGCACAGGACAGTTAGAAAGAATATGTAAATAAGGATCTGCTGCGCACAGCTAAACACCACGCCGGGGAAGCGTTGATAATAAAATTAGACGTTCTTCCCTCCTTCCTCCTTCTCCACCTCAACCTCCACCTCAACCTCCACCTAATCCTCCCCCTCCCCCTCCTCCTCATCTGCGGGGGGTGGGCTGATGAGACTCACAATTTACAGTTCCACGCTGGGCTGGGGATCTGGTTCTGTAGCACCTGCGGAAGCTTTGCGGCCCAGCAGTTGGCCCAGCTTGGGAAGAGGTGTGTTGGCAGACCAGACGGTAATCGTAGAGATTATTTAAAGAATATTGAACGGGGAATCTGGCCTAAAGCTTACAGCAAAGCTGATCAGGCCAGAAGAGCGGCTCGTTCTATTTAAGCAATATGTAAACGACACAGTCGCAATATCCGTAACTCCGTAACTCCTCCTCCTCCTCCTCCTCCTCCTCCTCCTCCTCCCTCCCCTCCTCCCTCATCCTTCCCTCTTGTCGTGCGGGTCGGCGCTACAGCGCGCGTGCGCATCTCAGCGCGCACCGCAGAAGTGTCTATTGAATGAGTCCACTTTCTTCTCGGATGGCCAATTCTGCTGGAGCCTCCTGGACGCATATGGAAGAAGTTCGGAAGATGCGGGCGGACTCGTAGATTCCAGCGGCGCTCCTTTTCTCATGGGAATTATGTTTCCAAATGCTACATGCAATACTTGTTCTCTGTGGAATCCACAGGCGCTCCATTTTGTCATAAGGATTCCTTACACATTCTACTTGTAACAGTTGCTGTGATGCACACAGGCGCCGTGTGTACACAGGCGCTGTAGTCCACGCGCGCATTGTGGTGTACACAGGTGCTGTGTTGCGCACGGCTGATGTGGTGTACGCAGGCGCTGTGGTGTACACAAGCGCTGTGGTGCCCGCAACCACCATGGTACACACTGGCGCTGTGTTGCACGCGGCTGCTATGGTGTACGTAGGCTGCGTGGTGAACACAGGCGCTGTGGTGCACGCAGACACTGTGGTGTGCACAGGCGCTGTGGTGCGGATCGCCACCTACATGCTGCTGCTACCCGTCCTCGGTAATTCTAGACAGGACTCCCAGACGCCGCCGGTGCGAAACATGACGTCCTCGGCCCCGTCCCCTTCCCCCCCCAAGAAGACGGCCGTCATCGGCTCGGAATATCTCTCTCTCTATATATATATATGTATATATATATATATATATATATATATTTATCCGCCGACCCTGTCGGCGTGTGGGGGACGCTCTTCCGTTCGTCGTCTTCGTCGTCGAGGGCCCCGGATCGCCGAACGATCGGTCCAACCGTCGCAGCTCCTTTCCGTTCCCTGGGCCCTCCCTGGGCTCTCCTCCTCAAGCGCGCCAGTCACAACGAAATTGAACAACGCCGTAGTTCAGTCGAAGGGAAGCCCCTTACCTTTAATCCCTTCCCCGCCGGGAGGGTGGGGGGTCCCCGGTCTGTGGGGGGGGGGTCCCGACCCAGAATGCCATCCCCCCCTGGCGATCCCTCCCTGGGCTATCCTCCTCAAGCGCGCCAGTCACAACGAAACGGGGGGAGGGGGGGGGGCTTCCGTTCGTCGTCTTCGTCGTCGAGGGCCCCGAATCGCCGAACGATCGATCCAACCGTCGCCTCCCCTTTCCGTTCCCTGGGCCCTCCCTGGGCTCTCCTCCTCAAGCGCGCCAGTCACAACGAAGTTGAACAACGCCGTACTTCTGTCGAACGCGGACCAAGAGTGCCGCAAGAAGTTTCCGAGACTGCCCAAGAGAGCCCCGAGCCGCCGAACGACCCAAAACGCCGTCCAACAGCGCATCCATTCCCGTCGAGAGCCCAGGCCTCGAGGGTCGGTGGCACCGGCCGTAAGGCCTCCGCTATACATTGCAACAAAAAAAGGCTCCAGCCGCGTCCGCGCGCACGACGACGATGAGCGAGGAGCGACGAACGACGAGCGACGAGCGTCGAGCGACGACGACGAAGACGACAGCGACGACTGCGGACCAGACCTCTATGCGGATTCCTATGCGGACGCCCATGCGGATGCCGATGCGCACGGCGGCAGCGCCCAGGGCGCACGGGAAGGGGGAAGCGTTACGTTATAGGGTGGGGGAGGGAGGCCGGGGGCTACAACGCCCATTATGGCAATGAAGAAGCACGCTGTTCGTAACCTCCAGAATTTCCGCCCCCCCCCCTCATCGTCCGAGCCGAAGGGATGAGGTAGGAGGAAAAGGGGGAGGAGGAGGCGGAGGAGGAGAAGGAGGACAACGGACAAAGGACAAAGACAGCTGGGAACGACTCCAAGCAAGCCAAGCCAGAAGATCAGCCTGTAGAGCATCGAGGTTTCCTCCGTAGAGTTGTGATCGCAGGCCTCACTAGACGACCTGATCAGGAGGACCTAGATAGCCTACAGATGCTAAGCGATCTAGGGCTCTATTAGCAGGGACGTTCTCTGTCTGGCACCTGTGGTGCTGAGACCTATGGACAGGAAGCGGGGTGCCGGAGGAGAAGGAGGAAGAGGAGGAGGCGGAGGAGAAGGAGGAGGAGGTGCGGCATCCTGGATCAGTCTTTTGGGACGTCTTCGGGCCTTGCTGACCTCCGAAAGCCTCTGGAGATCCCCGGAGACCTCCGATGGCACTCAGAGAATCCGTATAGAACGGAGGGACAATGGAGGAGGGAGTTGCTCCGCCTCCCTCCACTGCTGCTCCTCTTCTTCCTACTCGTTCCTTGGTTCCCCCTCCTCCTCCTCTTTTTCCTCCTCCTCTTTTTCCTCCTCCTCTTTTTCCTCCTCCTCTTTTTCCTCCTCCTCCTCCTCCTCCTCCTACTTTCTCCGATCTCCAGCCTTCCCCTCCTTGCCTCGTCGTCCCGGGAGGGGAGAGGAGATGTCAGTGAGTCCGAAACACCCAGGGGGCAACTGGACCTTGGGAAGGACATTCGGCGGCAGCCCCCAGCGCTGTGCCACGCTATATCCCTGTAGTACCCCCGACGCGCGCACAGGCCGACGGGGTTCGACCAGCGCTGCCGAGGAGGAGGAGGAGGAGGAGGAGGAGGAGGAGGAGGAGGAGGAGGACCAATGTAAACTCAAGAACCATCAACAATGTTGGAATAAACCCTCCCTCCAAGCTCCCTCTTCACAAGACCTCACAACGGTTCATCTCCACTGAGGGAAGTGCCCCATTTGGGGACAAACGTTTGAAGATCCTGAAGCTTGCCAAAACACCATTATTGGGAAACCAGCGCTACGAATAGACCAGACCGTTGCGCAAGAATCTCATTCCTGGGACACCAACACCGCGAAATTTCACAATCCTGAACCACTTCTAACCATATCTGGGGCACATGTTCCATGGGATGCCGTGATACCATTGCAAATGTTTGAAACGAATGTGCGCGGCGCTACGATGAAAACAACAGTCTGATAAGAACCCGCCTCAATTCGCGAAACTCCTGAATATGTTCGTGCGAATTTGAGCGACACTGACGCGACAGCCACATGTTGGAAACGACCCGCCCTCAATCCATGAAACTCTTGCAATTTTTAAAAGCGAAAATGCGCGGCGCTGAGGCAACAGCCACATTTTGGAAGCGGCCGGACCTGCATCTGTGAAGCTGATGCCACTTCTCAAGCTTCAAGATCATACATGGTAAGGGGGTATCAGGGGAAACGCCTGGTAAGCTACAGGGAGAACTTACTTATAACGACGAACGCAACGCAACCCCAATTAGGGAAAAGTCTATTGCATGGGCGCATCAGTTGGCGTTGTTTGAACTGCTTGGCTCTGCCTGGCATGGGCCGGCATGGATTGGCATTGCTTGGAATGGGTTGACATGGGCTGGCATGGGTTGGCATTGCTTGGCATAGGTTGGCATTGCTTGGCATTGCTTTGCGTTGCTTGGAATTGCATAAATTGCTTGGCATTGCTCGGCATTGCTTGGCAATGCTTGGAACAATCAAGGGCGGGGAACCCGAGGAACCCGGGGAACCCGAGGAGCACCGATGGCGAGAAACCTGGGAACCCGAGGAACCTCCGAGCAACGGGCAACGCAAGAATCTGAGGCACCAACCCTGAACAAAAAAAAACCCTTTGGGGAAGAAGGACTGAGGGAGGAGGAGTAGGAGGAGGAGGAGAAGGAGGAGGAGGAGGAGGAGGGGGACGGGGAGAGGAGGAGGAGGAGG